GGCCACCAAGAAGAGTGCCTTCTCATGTGAGCCGTGCCGCAGGCGCAAGGTACGTTTTTATATCTTCCGGGTCTGGTTGTTTGTGACGGCCAACGGACGATGACCGATGCATGCACAAATCACAATCGCACGAAGACACGCATCCCAGCCGGCTGTTGCACCAACCTGATTCAGCTCCTGCTTTGCATGTTGTGGACGGATTCACTCATGCGCTCTGTTTCTGGGGATAGGTAAAATGCGGAGGTGAACAGCCCATTTGTCAGCGGTGTGCTGCTCGCAATGATGAATGCATTTACAAGCTGTTTGTCGCCCCCACCATCTGCAACTGGAAAGTTGTTATGCCCTAACTTCAATTTTAGAAATCCGACATTGTCATACACTCAGCGGCTAGAAGAACGAATTAAGGAACTGGAAGATCAGGTTGTCAATCTTACGAAGTCGCCTCCGTCACTCGCTGGCTCGTCCCATTCGAGCCCCGCAGTATCAGGCGTTCAGGATGTTCCGTCGCAAACCAGTCGGCATGCCACTGATGAACAGGGTATCGGCCGGAGCTTCAGAAGCTTGAAGATTGACGACAAAGGAAGCATCACATACCACGGTGCTACTAGCTTCTTTAATCTTCCAAGTGATCGAACTGGCCCTGGCCCATCCGATATGCCATTCTTGAACCCATCGTCTTCGGACACCGACCTTCAGAGACGAGAACGCTTAATTCACAATGCATGGCACCAGCGCGCTATGGAGAACTTGAACGAGATCCCTGTATGTTGTTTCTTGCTTGTGAATGCAGCCTCGTCGTGACTTCGGGGCTGACATACACCGCTGACATACACCCTGAGTTGCTAACTGGTACGACAGGAACCATTTCAATACCTTCTCAATGTTCATTGGTGCTGGATACAACCGCTTTTTAATTTCATCTACCGCCCTGTATTTACACGTAGGTTTATCCAGCTAGTTACTGCTCAATTTCAGTGCCATGTACGACGTTTCCTCGTTGCATATCTCTTAGTTAACAATGGCAGGTGACATGCATTCCATGGGGCCGTATTACTCACACACGCTTCTTAATGCTGTAATTTCCCATTCAATTCGATGGGGCCGGAGCGACCCATCAACCAAACGACTACTTGACGACTCCTACCAGGGCGGCCTCGTCTTTGGTAAACATGCCAGAAGCATGCTTTTTGAAGAATTGAACAATGGAGTTTGCACAATTCCTACGATACAAACACTCCTCCTCCTTAGTGCGCAGGAGTGTAGTCAGGGCAATTCCACACAGGCTTGGACATATAGCGGAATTGCCTTCCGGTTGTTGGACCATCTTGGCATCTGTGTGGACAGCCAGCGATTTCCTGGCTCCGTTCCCTTAAGCGATGAGGAGCTCGAGATTCGTCGACGCATCTATTGGGGCTGCTATTTCTGGGACAAGCTTATATGTCTATATCTGGGACGGTCTCCCTCCTTGCAACATACAAACATTTCGCCATCCCATATCATGTGTAAGCATCTTTCGCTCTCGACGATGGGTGTGCAAACGAAGCTGGCTTGCTGACTAGCGCCTCACAGTTGATGATTCGGCCGAGAATGACCTGTGGGTTCCCTTTGGTATTCCACAGACCGACCCCACGTGGAAATACCCACCAACGACGGCTCATTCAGCCTCTTGCTTCATGAGCATGTGTCGACTGGCAGTCATTTTCAATGAAATTCTGATCCATATGTATGACCCGCTGTCGCAAAATACCGACGCTGAAATCCAAGAGTGTCTCAACTCACAGGAACCCCTGTTGCATCAGTGGTGGGATCAACTGCCAGTCCACCTCAAGATCAACCCTATTTCGTTGCCAAATCTGGCTCCGCCATCCCACATTGTGACGTTAAAGTACGTATTTCTTTGCAAGATCAGCTCTAGACGGTGCAATCAACTCGATACCGAAACCATATACCTAACACTGGACAACAGTTGCCTTTATCATGCATTTAAAATCTTGCTATATCGGCCAATGATCACCGGAAGAGGCCAACGTGAATGTGAGGGCCCGTCTCCGGTCCAGCGATATCTAGTGGAAAGTGTGACATCGGCGACATCCATCATTGCAATATTCGACCTCTTTTGCAGGACTTTCACTATGAACTACTGCGTTTTATCACTCGCCTACTGTGTCTATATCGCCTCATCTATCTTTCTACTTCAGGTTCAAGCTGCTCCAGATGACCAGCAAGCAATGAGAAAGCTCACTTACTGCATCCAATGCTTGCGGCAAGTGAGACAAATTAGCCCAGGTAAGATGTAGTGGATTTTTCGCCTTCTTCAAATGGACCCATGTCATTTACTAATTGGACGGCTTAATATAGTCATAGCCTCCGCGCTGAATAATATTAATAAAGAGCTCACCGCCGTGGGCATTACAGTAGGGCCCTCTATGCAGCAAAGCCCTCAGACGCAGCCGTCCTCGTCAACAGGATCGAGCGCTCCTTTGCCTAGTGGCACATACCAAACATCTGCAGATATAGGCAGACAAATCCCTATTCCATCCCATCCAGTGTACCAGCCATCCTTCAGCCACAACTTTGGTCCGGACGCAATGTCCATGGAACCTGGCGTCTTCGAAGCGATGTCAACCCTGGAGCCACTTAGCATTCGAGTTGGGACTATTCCCCAGTCGGAAAATCCACCTTCTTTTGGATAATGTCCACGATACACTGCATTGACTCAAAGAATGCTTATAGAGGTACACTATTTTTGAAGCACTTATGGCAAACCCGTGTTGTGTTGACGCGGAACATATGTTGCTGTCGGTTTCATGGCTTCTCCATCATTATCAACCCCAGTCACTGTCCTAAGCACCCCCCTTTCTCGGTATTGGGATTGCAAAGACTAAGTGTCAGGATTACACATATTCCGGAATTTGATAACACGAGTCTTGTGAAAGCAGAGGGGAAGTTGCTTAGGTATGAATTACAGTGATCGGCTTATCAAACAAATATCCCCGCGTGGTACAACGCGTCAGTGTCAGCGACAGAAATCTAACTGGACCGGCAGTTTATAGAGTAGCATGGCGAGGAGGAATTTTTCTATGGCCAGTCAGGCTACGAGGTCTTGCTTAGAGTCTGCAACAGCGTAGTATACCTGACGGCTCGCCAAACTGTTGAGATCAAACAGTGCAGTTGGTGCTGCTGGCGGGTAACATATTTAGGAATTACTCGGCACGAACTGAGCATCAAATCCACACTCGATGACCAAGGTGATATCTTTTTGAAATGGCAAAAGCTCCTTTGGCTGGAGAGTAATTCGGGTGATGCTGGGCGGCCCTGCCGACAATTCAGAAGCAGCGGCAATTGGTATATACCATCATATGGATCGATGTATGGGCATGTTGTGTCTGCGATCAACCTGTTAGTATCCTCGCCTCGCAGGGCCAAGTATGCCAGTTGTGGCTTCGAATAACATGATGAATATGGATGAAATTCATTGGTCACGAATGGACATTCGTGCAACAGATAAATGGGAGTCGCCTGAAGCAGGTGGTCATTGCACATTCAAAGAAACTCGGAACTTGTCAGACAACTTCAAACCTCACGATATTGTCAAGGTAGATTTCAATAGAGGCGACTTGAGCCACGATGCAGTGTGAGGTCTGTAATGATTTGACACTGAGCTTTATCATAAGAATTGATGTGATACTACGTACCTAGGTAGTTAAGCATGGATTACTCAAATGCGGGATTCTCTACCAGGCCAGCATCGTGGTCGTGAGACTGGTCTCGGACAACGTCCGTCGCCCGACTCAGGCACGACCAGCCGGCTGGATTTCATCTTGGCCTTAGAAGTCAGTATCGTCGCATCAGTATATATTTGGAACAGATCCCACCCGCGCTGGCATCCTTTCGTTCGCCCAAAAGATAATCTTCTTTGGCACCCCGAGGCAAAAATTGGGCAGCATTCTGCCACACACGACTGACACAGCTCGACACTCCATGGCTCTAAACAATCATTAAGGGAAAGCCATGAGGCTGTGGTGCCTGGTGGCCTTGTGGCCCGTGGCGCTTTAGCTTATCGAGGCTGAGCCGAAAGCGCGGCGATTGAAGAGCCTGCACTAATGTTGGGCGATGACGGGACAAACGTGGCCGTTGGCCATTGTCAAGTACTACCTACGTTACTCCGTATACGTTCTCATATTGCTGCATTTCATACTTGCGAAGATACAGACTCGTTGTGTCTCACTGGAGAAAAACGAAGGGGTATTGGAGCGCCGACTCCGCTGGACACGACTCCGCTGCACTGGAGGAACATCGACCCGACGGGCAGGCGACCAGACGACCCTGATGACTACTTGTTGACCATGTCGGCTCGGAGGCTGGGAAGGCAGACGGCGCATGAAAAGAGAAAGCAGGTCCGTGGGTGGCAGTGGCACCTGCTTGGCTTAGGTGCTGACGCCGGCTTATGCGTGCCGGTTAGCCAAGAATCGGAAAGGGGGCCGGAGGCTTCTGGGCTGACTAAAACTTCTCCAGCATTCGGCGAGATGAGCAAACGCCAGGCCTCGCCTCAACGGCCCTCAAATGGTCCCGAATGGTCATGGCTGCATCGAGCATCGCCCCGCCGACCCTTAGAAGCGAGCCAGGTCTGGAGACAAAGCAGCTTGCGGGAGAGAAGCTCGCTCTAGAAGCCATGCAACACGAGGTGATATATGTCAACCATCGACTACTCCGTACTCCGTACTCGAGCATGGATTAGTTCAACGACTTGCAGCTCAGCCAACTTCAATTCCCCGCTCGCGACACTGCATTCGCTGTGACTCGCTCGCTCGCTCGCTCGCTCATTCACTGAAGCAGAGAATTGCTATGGGACTGCAGGAAACAGGCCAAGTTTCTACCCTGAAACATAGCCAGCACCCTTAAACCTGATCGATGGATGCTTGTGCTCGCTTGCAAGCAGCGTGAATCGAGTGGAACCTCCCGCTTTTTCTCGCAAAGCGCCCCTGAAGGCAGTCATTACCATGCGTTGGCCGCCTCTCAACCTTTTTTACGCATTTACCATTGTTGTCATTGCATTTGGGTCGATTCCAAAAGGTGAGCCTCAAGGATATGAAGGAACAATAGAGTGGTGCCTTGCCTTGTGCCGATATTGGCAAGGTGATTAAGCCTTTCGCTAACGGCGCGTCCTCGCAACCACAGGCTATGATGAGGGCGGCTTCGCTTCAGCGTCGGGGCTCAGGTCTTTTTTGACGGACTTCGGCCTCACCAGAGGACGATGGACTGGCGACCCATCTCAGTTAGCCACTCGAAGAGCTGTTGTCTCATCCTTGGGAGTTCTTGGTGCAGCCATCGGAGCTGGTATGGCCATATACGTCACCGATGTCATTGGGCGACTTCGCACCTGGCAACTCTTCACACTTCTGTGGATGACGGGTTTCTTTACTGTCACCTTTGCTTCGGGAAACGTTGGCGTGCTGCTGTTTGCGAGAATCTGGGGAGGCATTGGCGCTGGCGGCCTGACTGTTGTTGCACCGTTGTACTTGTCAGAGATTGCAAAGGCAAAAAACAGAGGCATGATTGTGTCAGTATACATGGTTGTTCTGTTGACAACTTTGATGCTGGGTAGGCCAACTTCACTTACCGTTAAAATCGTCGCCTTGACACTTTACAGAGTGCTAACTTCGTCGTCAGGGTTTTTCATTAGTTACGCCGCTCGCAGGACGATGAAATCAAATCGAGAGCAATACCGAGTTGTTCTTGCTGTGCCCCAGATTCCCGTGGGTATTGCACTTTTCTGCTCACTCTTTTTGCACGATACCCCCCGCTGGCTTGCATCCAAGAACCGGCATAACGAGGCTCTCATTGTCCTGGCCAGGTTGCGCAACAAGTCGATGGAAGATTCCGAGGTCCAGAGCGAATACAGCGAAATGCAGCAAGAAGTGGTGAGCAAGAATCTCATTCTTGCGGACACGTCGACTTGGACCATCATTAAGGAAGTCGCTACAGTACCCACCTATCGCAGTCGATTCCTGCTCGGCCTCGCGATGCAAACATTTGCTCAATGGAGCGGTGGCAATGGCATCACTTACTACATTCCTGAAATTTTCCGTCTGGCCGGTATCACAACCAACCGCGCGTTGATCAACGCAGGTGGATACGGCGCTACGAAACTTGTCTTCACCATGGTGTTTACATGGGGATTGATAGATTACTTCGGCCGCCGACGTTGCTTCATGACTGGCTTAGCCATGCAATGCGCAACACATATCTACATGGCCATATACATGGGAATCTGGCGCCGTAGCAATAACCAATCTGCCTCCGCCGCAGCCATTGCGTCTGTGTTCGTCTATGCCATCGGCTGGTCTATTGGCCTCTGTACAGTTCAGTACCTCTACGGGACAGAAATCCTACCCACGCGTGTCCGGGGAGTGTGCTATTCGATGAATATGATGGTTCACTGGCTATTTCAATTCGCTGTTGTGCGAACCACACCCCCAATGTTTCGAAACCTCGACGTCTGGGGAGCTTATGTATTTTGGGCACTCATCTGCTTCATTGGCTTGGTCGTACTTGGCATATGGGCGCCTGAGACAAAGGGAGTGCAATTGGAAAGGATGGGAGAATTGTTTGAAGGCCCGTGGTACAAGACGTGGAAGGCCAAGTTCAATATCAACAGTGATGAGGAGTCGTTGCACTTGCAAACCAGTCGGCACTCGGTAGTTCACCAGCATGAGAATCGTAATAAGACATCGGTGGGTTGATGGCTCTTTTACACTGAGTCTCCAGTACTGAGTCTGGATTTGGAAATACCTTGGAGATGTGTACATTCTTGGTAGATAATATAGCTGCTATTTTCAGAGATGTACATACTTCTAACATCCTACAATCGCTAATATGCTTCATCTTCGTATGAGGATGATATTAATAAATGTCGGTTTATGTACCATATAATATGATGTGATACGCCTCTTGGTTCTATATACAATGTGTAAGGAGCTATTTTTATAGCCTGCTCTTGCTTCCTTGTACTAGGTTATGTGTGATGAATCTCGGCATAGACTTAGCCTTAGCTTAGCGAGATGATGCTTTTGACACCACTGCCATGCATAATCGCTTCATGTTAATCACACCCTTACTTTCGTATAGGCTAACTCTTCATTTAATGTTGTAGGAGATTAGTACTCAATGCATGTGTGTTGATTAGACTATCTTGGTACCACGTCTCGGGTGGAGAGGAGGCGACGAGAGTAAGATCCACAAGCATTTTATTGGCATGGGTATGGGATTGACTTGATCCTAGCTAGGTGAAAAAGCTAATAATCCGAGGACAATGATTGGATGTTGATTTCTTTTCGTTCTATTTTTCTCTTCGCGATTGAATGCAGGGCTGGTTGAGGTAGAAATGGGCCTGGGGTGACATCTTTTGTTATACACATGATGCGTTATTGTCATTGCTATAATAGACTCCAGAATATATGAGCCCATTTTTCGGGGCGGCGTTTGGGCCTGGAACACGCGATCAATTTCGTCAAATGTACGGCGTTTGAGTTCTGGGATGTAGAAGAAACTCCAGGCCGTAGCAATGGTTGCCAGCCGTCCAAATATGAACCGACCCTGCCCCTAAGATGACCCTCATCTGGATTGATCATGTAAGAAATGGCAAGGTTGAGTATGATGCCCATGATGACCTGGGTGGCGGTTGCTAACGCCATGGTTGGGGCGCGGAGGGAGGTGCTGCTGGCTTCACTGAGGATGGCAAAGGCCATGGCTCCGAGCGAGGCAAAGTAGACGAAGGCATAGATGGCAGTTAGAGCCGCCTGAACCCACTAAGCGGCACTGGTTTGGGTGATGCCTAGAATACCAATGAGAAAAAGGATAGTGGTCATGAATACCGATTGCGGTTCGGATACGGTCGGTTCCTCGGAAACATTGAATAAGGGATCTTTACTCGTACTTCGCAGCTTCCTCCTCCCCAATAGTAGCCTCGAGAGCAATCAATCCAGCGTCAATATTCACATCTGAAACATAAAGTTTGCGGAGAGATCACTCGGCTTCTTCTCTCTTGCCAACACGGGCGAGATACCAAGGCGTCTCCGGAGCAAAGGGAAGTAAGGCCAGGAGAAAAGCGCAGAAAAAGAGTTGCAAACTCAGGGGGGCTCGGTATGCCCAGAGGGATGTCCATTCTCTGGATGCCTTAATAACAATGTTGGATACGAGCTGGCCAGAGCCCAGGCCAAACTGCACACCGGCAGTTGAGATGCTCGGAAGACAACCGGTGCACACTCGGAGGTACCCAAACCGAAATCCAGTATGAGATTAGAGACAACAAAAGCTGCTCTAGCAGTCGAGAAAATGTGCCCAACAATTCCGGCAGTCACATGCGTAGATAAAATGAGGATTCAAGATGGTTTAGCATTGTATAGCATTTCGCTTTGATACTTGAGCAGAATCCAAAAGTTATCCACACGCAATGTGAGAATGCTGGCAATGGAAGGAGCGACATCTGGACGAAAACCAAACCGAGCTCGTCCGGGTTTTGGTTGCTGCTGCGCATTACTCTGTAAGCACCAGCGACACCATTCCTTTGCTAGGAAAGCGCAACCCAACCTGCACCGGTCCAAGGGTCAAATGCATTGTTGGCTCAATCTATGACGGCTTCACTTTTTTTTCTTTAAACTCTCCAAATAGACAAAAAATCCGATACGGCTGTATTCTGACTGCTATATTAAGGTCGGCATTTCCGCAGTTTCGTGCCACGAGGCCACAGAGCCATGTAAACGAACGACCCTTTGCACAAGATTAGGCAGACATCTGGCCGAAGGGTGGCTCTTCTCGAACCGAGGACTATTCTCAAAGCAGTGCTCTCGGTCCATTACTATTCCGACAGCGAGATTCCCCAACGGTTTGGCCTATACACGCTCTGTGGACGCATTATTTACCACCCAGGTATCGTCGATTCCGGGTTGTGCCATGTGCCAAATCTGATCTAAGATGGTGCCGCCGCAGCCCAACTTCATCCTTAGCACGACTTGTCTCATCATCCGGATCTAGCTGTGGATGGTGGCTCCGTCAGGGATCAGCACTCTTCCAAGTCGAGCAACGGTGATACCGTAGTCTCCCCGACTGCTGAGACCGGTGTTTTGTTGAATCGTCGCCCTGGGAAGCGGCTTTCTACCCTCGGAGGCGTGTTAATACTGCAAGCCAGGTCTGCAGAGCACGCAAGACCAAGTGTGACAACAAGCAGCCTAGCTGCTAATATTGCTTGAGTGTTGGCTCAACTTGCATTCAATCTCCCGTCGACCTCTCTAGCTTTGACCCTGCCGGCCTCAAGATACTGGACCGCTTAGACGATCTGGAACGTCTGCGTCGCACCACTGGTGCTGCTACTGAACTTGCGATATCGCAATCACTACCAATTCCCCATGTCTCATCATTAGCTTCGCCTTCTGGCACTTCTGGAAATGGAAATCATGAATCACTCCCCGCTCATTTTCAAGTTCAGCAGCTCGACAATAGTCATATTCCACGATCAAACCAACTCACCAAGAATGACAGCCAGATCTCCGATGGGCTAGTGGAAGAAAAGCTGCCACTAGACAGTATCTTACCAATGCGTATCGACGATATCTTAGAGTGGCCAGTCTTTCACAATACCAGGTCCCAAGTTTTCCCCGTCCATCGATCACAGCCGGATGCCATGGCATCTCCCGCTGGCGAGGCCGCGTCGTTGGCAGCCCTGGTAGATATGGAGTCTCATCGCATATACAGGCTCCTAGACAACTTTTTTCTTTACATACACTGCTAGAATCCCATTCTAGATGAGACCTCTCCACGAAAAATAGCTGGAAAGGCCTTTTCAGATGGTATTGATTGGTCACCAGCTTCCTGTTTGGCCATGATCATTTGTGCTCTGGGCTGTATAGCAACGCCATTAGTCCAAGCCCAGAGACAAAAGTAGGCATACGGGCATATGCTAATTCTCAAGACTTCTTTCAAGCAGCCTAGAAACGCATTGGCATCCTGTGTATCAGATCGGAAATAATTGGTGCGCAATGTCTGTTCCTTTCTAGAGTCTACATGCTTATAGTTTTCCAGCCCATCTATGCGTGGCGGTTCTTCTCGTAAGCACTAGCCGCATGCCAACATTTTCGCTTCCTGGCCAACGCCCAAGACATGTCAACAGAAGCCGTATTATCTACAGGATCAATAGAGAGGGACAGGCAAGACACTCAAGAGGCAGGCTGTCTATTGGTCTGCTTGGAAAACAGAACGGGAGCTGCGGGGAGAGCTATCCTTACCAGATTTCGATATCCACCATTCGGGCAATACTCTCTATCCTCCATTCTTCCCTGCACCTTCCGTGCCTCCGTCGGGATCTGCCGGTGGTCCAGATTCAGACGCCCAACGCTCCAGAGCTTCATAGCTCTTTTATTTGGCGGAAATATCACTCCAACGTGTGACTAGCCGCCTTTGCAGCGAAATGCTAAATTTACGGCAACGCTACTCGTCAAATACAACTTTTTTAGATGTCCTAGCGGATATGACGCCAGAGTATGAGGCACAAGCACAGGAATGGTCTGAGAGTCTACCAGGCAGGGGAGCTGTCGGTACGCACTGCCATTACGGAAGATAATATTGCCAGGTCTGTCCTACGAGGCAAGCTCATCAATCTTTACAAGATAATCTATTGGCCATTCGTCATAGCAAGTTTAAGTGCATTGTTCAGTAGGCAAACGAGGAGAAGCCCCAGCTAGAAGAGCTTGCCAAACGCGGCCTGGACACACATATGCATCAAATCCATGCCACTAAGCCAGGGTTCTTCCATCGACACCATGGTGGATTATTCATGATCAGAGCTTGCACCCGCAGCGCACTGACACTCTTAACGGCTGCCAAGTCTGGAAGTATAATGCCGCCGAATTGGGACGAGGCGGTTTGTAAGGTCATCGGCATTCTGGCATACTAGGAGGAGGAAGACCGGGACGTAGGCCGATGGAAATCAATAACAGAGCGCGAGCTTGCGTTACTTCGCGAGTGATTAAATGCAAGGTTTGTTGAGGTGCGTCGCCTTTTGCGAGAAATTACCTGTCAAAGCAAATACTTGACCTTTAGTCCTGCAGAGAGATAAAGCGGAGTGATGGGAGCATCACATACATGCTAGACCACGCTATCCCAACAGATCGGAATATCTCCCAGTTGCGTACACATCAGTAAACTGCGGGGGACACACAAGGATTGTGTGGGAGGAGTTCCTCAAGTGTAGGACTAACTTGATTTGCTCAATGTTTCAGCGCGAGTTAGTTGACATCGTTCCCGTCCTCAGAACTGGATGTGACTTTATACCCAAAAGATCCATTCGTGCACTTGACTTAATTCGCTTTCAAACAGCATCAATACAGAGCATATTCCCCGGGACTCCATGCAGTGTTGTCACTTAGTCACTTCAATATATTAGTGCACATGGAGTGTCGGGCGTGTGTCTTGGAATTCTTACCTAACTCAAATGAACACACAACATGTGGGTAAAAGAGGCCATGCCAAGAAGCAATTTTCCCGGGTACTCTTGCTGTCGAGTTGAATTTGGCACAAGACAAAATTGACGAGTGCAGTTTATAAAGCATCATTCTACCATATCAGAATACGGATGAAAATAAACGTCACGGGTGTCTCCAGCGTATGAAGCATACTCAAGCAACACTCTTCTCCTGTCAACGTATACACATCCACCTTACCACCTCCCGGGTCATCACTGCAGCGGAGG